TTTCTAGTGCCCCTGGAAATAGGTGAGGAGTGTGTGTGGGGTGGGGGAGAAGGATAGATGGGGTTAGTCTCCCCCAGTTTATGGTTTGCTTGTACTGAGCATGCTCACTAATACTGCTGAAACTGTTGTCCTCAGTCTGCCCCCGATGCTCTCACTCTCTCCCCCACATACACAGGTCACCCCCACCCCAATCCGAAATGGTGTCCCTGCCTATTAAGTGTAACATTCCCCTGCCACTGTGCCATAACTGGGGAGGGGATCATTGCTGACACAGGCAAGCTGCATAAGGGCCAGGTCGGAAGCTGCAGTCACACTAAAGACCCTTCCTTGCTTTCCTTCTCACTCTCAGCAACAACATATCTTCCAGAATTACCACAGGCTGTAGAAAATGTGTGGGCACTAGTGATTATAGGGCCTCTCTGCAGTGTTGGCTCACCCCAAAAACCTGCTGACACAGCAGGAAGGCCCTACCACAATGAAATCCACTACCCCAGTAGTTAACTCACCGTTTTGGGAGTCTCATGTATTATGTGTGCTCACTCTGGGACAGCTAGGCAGTGATAGATACGTGAACAGTGCTTGTGCTTAAGAAGGATTGTGTCTGTGCTCTGTCTGGTGTTAACAATGGTCTCTCTGTAAAATGTAGTATTTGGGGTTCACAGATTTAACCTTAGGATCCCAGCCTTCCCCATTATCACCTGCTGATAGCCTGCACAGGGCAAGGAAGTTTCCTCAGAAGTAAAGATGACTTCATGTGTGAAGTTATGTTACCGGCTGCTGCTGAACAGAAAGAATTGGAGTGGAGGAACAAGGAAAGAAGGGAGCGCTGAACTAGTAGCATTACAGCCATTGCTTGGCAACAAATATTTCTGATTTTCATCATCCAGTTGTCACCTCAAAGCAAGGCTGCTCCCTAGGGGAGCGCAGGGCCCAAGGCAACCTCCACTGCCCTAATCCGGCCCATGCTCTGCCTCTACTCCACTCCCCATTGCACCCTTCTGTGAAGCTTCCTCCTCTGAGCTACACAACCCAGAGTCTACTGCAAGATGGCAGCAGGGGCTGGGACCCTTCTGCACTCTCCAGCAATGGGAGCCAGTGTACCCAGAAGCCGGCTCTGCTCCTCCATCCATCTCCCAACCTACTGCGTTCTGCTTTACCACAAAGATAGGGAGCAGAACCACCTTCCTGTCGCCTGTACCCCTCTGCTTCACTGAGTCCTGCATTGCTCAGGGGAGTGAATTGGGATGGGATGAGGACAGGGTCATTTCACTTCCTGCCGTTGTGGTCAGTGTGTCCTATACCAAGCCTCCAGGTAATCCCCTGGGCTGCCTTAGGCATTTCAGGCAGCCGCTATGAACGACCACTAACCATCCTGGGGAGGGAGTGGCTTTGCTCAAGGCACCCCTGATCTTTATAGCCCCATGCTGTGCTCCTCTGATAGGCCTGGTCTCAGGCTGTTCAAACTCAGTCTGCAGGCACTGAGCCTCAGCAGTCAAGCCCTAAGCGTAGCTTTCACACTTCCCTTCACAAATATTACGGAGGGTACAGCACATGGCTATAACCAGGGCTCGCTGAACCACGGTGAGCCCCGCTTGCCAACCACGCTGTCCGGCGATCTGCACATGCACAGATTGTTCTGCGCATGCACAGATCACCTGAACCCAGCTCTTCCGGGCTGTAATCTACTCACCACAGGTGAGTAGATTACATAGTTTGTCGAGCCCTGGCTATAACTATAGCTATAACTATGTTGTCATAAACTAGGTCAGCTTCCCATACAAACATCACCAGTGAGCTTTTACATGGCCAAAATCACACTTCACAGTTATTCTGCACCTGCTTAGACTGTTGAACAGCTCCTTGCTTCTGTCAAGGCTCTCAGTATATGGCTTCATGAACCATGGCATTAAGGGCTAGGTGGGGTTTCCATCCAGACTGATATTCTGGTTCAGGAAGAAAGTCCCCTGCTTGCAGTTTCCTGAAAAGGCCAGTGCTCCAAAGGATGCCTGCATCATGCACCTTTCTGGACCTGACTGTGTCAATGTCTGTAAACTGCCCACTGTGAGGCACAACCCCCTGCAGAACCATGTAGAAATGCCCCCTTCTGATTAAAGTACACAGAGACTAAGTGGTCCAGTGCCAGAAATGGAATATGGATGCCATCTATCGCATCTCTGCTGATAGGGAAATCCATCTGCAAAGCCATCCACAATTTCACGCAGTCTTTCAGAGCAGGATGGTCCATCGACACAAGTCCAGAGGTCTACTTTCCCACTTCACGCTGATTGGCAACAGATCAGTAGCTGTCTGGAGTAGCCAGCTTCCCCATGCGCTTCTCCACCAGCAGGACAGGTCTCATTCTTTGGTCATTGTGCAGCAGGGTGGGAGCTAGCTCAGCATATTGTCCCATGAAAGTGGCTTTCCTCATCCAAAAGTTCTGCAGCCACCACTCATCATCTTTGGCTTGCCTGACAATGTGATCCCACTACTCGGTGCTTGTTTCATGAGCCCAAAAGAGGCATTTCACTGTGGTCAGCCCCTCTGTGATTGCCACAAGTAATCTTGTGAGCAGAGGCAATGCATGGGAGGCATGAGGGATCACGTATGCTCCCAAATGTGGTGGGTGGGGCCAGCTAGTAGCTGGTGGGGAAACTTGCAGGTCATAGGGTCAGTGCTAGCAGCTGGAGTCCGTCCGTCCCCAGCTCACTGGCATTGGAGGAGAAAGCGCAGCAAAGCGGCCCCAGCTCACATTGCTCTCCAGCTGCTCTGCTGCAGGAAGGGGGTGGGATTGCTCCTGCAACTTCCTGCAGGGAGTGGAGTGGCCAAAAAGCAGTGTGAGCTGGGGCTGCCTTGCTGCACTTTTCCTGCCTCTGCCAAGGAACATGGGGGTGGGAGTGGACTCCTACAGTTAGCGTCAGCCCCCCAATCCCATTAATTGCCTAGGCTACCTCAGTTGGGAGAAGAGGGGTTGTGGAAGAGGGCAGGGATGGGGCTCAGCAAGGATAGGGTCAGGCAGGAGGAGGGCAAAGGCGAGTGCAGGAAGTAGGGTCTGGATGGAGAGGGGTTGTCCCAGCCCTTCCCTGGGCTGGGCTGGGGAATGTGGCCAGTGCCCTGTCCCAGACCCCCTTACCAGTCACTTCTGCTTTTGTGGTAGGTACTGTGTGAGCAAGGCAAGCGGTTTCTGACTCATTGTCATTCTGCAGCTTAAGGAATAACTCAACTGCCATTTGTGATGTGTTAGTGAGACTTATCAGCATTTTTTTTTTCAACCACTGTGGATCCATTCCTGCAGACTGAGAAGGCAGAGTGTGCAGCACAAAAGTTATTGAGAGATGGTGCCAAATGCAGATGGAAGCACAAGTGACTTTGGGATGCGAAGTGATGCACCGGAAGGCATTCGGTCAGGACTGAGGATGCTTTGCAACTCCCCCGCTTCACATTCCTGTCAGAATTTCATTTTTTATTTCTGTGCATTATGACACCAAGAATGTGAAACTTCAAATGAAGTTGAAAGGTAACTTTTTACATTTGTGTTGAATAAAAGAGGCCATGTTATTTTAAGCTTGTGTGGTAGTGTTTGTTGTGCACTTACATCTGAGTTTTGTTAAGGCGAGACCCACATTGTAGAGGCTCCTTTCTAGAAATACTTAGATGCTTGATTCTTCCCGACCTTTGCATCTTGCATAGTGATTTACAACAACATAAAGCAGGTGTAAAATGATACTAAATCAAAACAGCAACATTGTACATTCCCTGTGTACCAATGTAAACGCTGCAGGAGATATAGGCCTAGAATACTCCAAAATGACTGATTCCCATGTTGAAATAAAACAATTTTAATATGTACTATTCTGTCCTGGAGGAATTCTGCAATTTTAGTGTGGTGCCAAATTTGAGAACTATGCCTGTAAAATACTGAATACTAGAATACAGATAGGTAGTTGTGCATAGATAGTTTCATAAGGGCAGCTGTTGTATCTTGGTGAAGTAGATGCTGCATACAAACTTCTTAGACTTTAAGAGTTTGTTATATGCAAACCCCTACCCCCTCAAGGATGTATATCCTTTCAAACAGGTGTAAACCTGATCCCTAGTAGCTTTGATGGTAAACCTTCACAGTGGCTTTGTATTTCAAAATAAACAGACCCCTTTCACTAGGAACTAGGGGAGTAAGCTAGGCCTAGTATTTTTATCTCAAGTGTCTGTGTTTGTTGGTATTTGTGTTTACATTCTGAAAAGGCTTTTTTAAGCATCCAGGTGGGATTTAAAGTAAAGTGTCATTTCATGTCAATTCAACTGGTGATTGATAGGAATACACTAACAAGATCAAATATATATTTTATTTTTTCCTCTGACACGGCTCAAATGAAGCACAAAAATAGAAATACAAAAGAATTTAACAACCCTTAGCCAGCAGTGACAACACAAAATCCAGGTAGGTGTGAAATTCCATTATTGCATTACCAGGTAGGAAAGTGCACAAGAGCCCAAACAACTCCAAGTAAGCTCCTTGTGACCGCTACTAGCTTCATTTCTGGGTCCTAGGCGACACTAGCACTGCGGGTGCTTAATAAACAGCGACGTTCCTGAATCGCTTACTGAACACGGCTCCAAACAGCGTGGTTGGCGTTTGCGTTTCGTGTGTGCCTGCCTCACGGAGTCCCCGCAGGGGTGCAGATGAAGCCAGATGTCTTCACAACCAGGCCACAAATCAAAGCAGTGACCCCAATTGCCTGCGTTTCGCCCCATCCCTTGTCCCGTGTGGGCTGGTGAACGCGGCTCCTTCTCTCGGGACAAGCAACCGATTTGCTGTGCGTGTGTGTACGGAGGAGGAGCCCAGCGACGCCCAGGTGAGCTGGCTGGGGCGCGGGGCGCGGCCAGCCGGCGGGG